CGAAAATATTTGCGGAAAAAACGCAAATATTTCCCGAGCTCCCCGTGCTGTTTTGATTGCAGTCAGCGCCGTGGAAGGTGAAAACAAAAGCGATCGGACGATACGGTGACACTAAATAGAAATTTGTGCGAAGCTGTGAACGATTTCTATCCGGTGATCGAGCCTGGGCAAATTTAATTTCAAAATTTATATAAACAATCTTCTCGCGGTTTTTTTCTATCTTCTTCGAAACGATTTACAGCTTATTCGCGAGAACAGCGATGAATTGATACAATGAGTTAAAGTAATACTTTTTTGATCATAAAAATTTTTTGATTCTCTGAAAAGTTTCGAAATCTTTTGTCGACCGCCACAAAATTTATTTTTAGTGTTTTATATATGTGTTACAAAAAAAAAAGATTTTACTATTTCGATGTCTTTATTGTACATTTATTAACATACGTGATAACAATTTTATAATAATCATTTTAATAATTTTTATAACAGACAATCAGTGAGATAATCTTCTTAGCAGGATTAGCAATGTTCGGTTCAAAATTAGTAAGTTTTAACCTTAAATCGTCTCGGACTTTCATATTCGACTTATTTCTCTGTTTGGTTAAGTTGGAGTTAACATGAAACCAGCTTCAACCATGTACGAACTTGGAAATGCCAGCAAAAAAGGGTATAGGATATCACAAAGTTTTCTGTATTTTTGTGTTATATTTTACACTGGTATTAAATTCATTAAAACAATATTCAAAAAGATTATATGTTATGTAATTATATTCGTGATTTCTAATCAATTTGTCCTTCGATCCCCACTCGACCCCCAGGGGTCGATATCAACCACTCTGGCGACCTCTGTCTTAGAGTTAAATAAAAAATAATCTGTTTCAATGATATTTTCATTTACTTCTTAGATAGTGAAATAAAACAATCGAGAATTAATAATGGATAAATAATAATGCGAACGATCTGGTTTTATACAGTTTTTAGAGTTACTTGCTTTCTCGGCGAAAATCTTTTCAAAGAGTTCACAGGTAAGAAATAGTTAAGCCGTTTTGGAAAATTATACAGTAAATTATAATTCTAAGATTGCATATCTATATTATTTAAATTAACACTTAAAATATTGTTGCTTGAAACATACTCACGTCTGCTGGTGATACAAGTAATTAGCGGCTGGAAAAAACGATGCGATAAGAAGCTGACATAAAATTTAAGGATACGTCCGTCTGGAAACTTCTTTTTTTAGAAGGCTTGTTTAATGTCTCTTTTATTAATAAACTAACAGCAAACTGAAATATAAGCAGTGGAAGGTTATGCAAATTCGCGTTTTTCTATACAGAGTTTAGATGACAACACCTGTACCTAAACCTGCTTTAACCACAGAGAGTTTTGATTTAATTGAAGTACTACGTCAATAATACGAATGACTTGAGAATATTGTTGAATTCAGTTACAATTATTAGCTTTTCCTGTTTTTGTACTTTGGAGTATACTGCAATTGTATAAAATTTGCAGCGTATTGACATGTAACTCATCATGTATGTAAATTACTCGGGGCAAAAGGTGTCGCCAATCATCCTCGGTGTCAACGATCTCTTGACGTCTACCTCGTGAAATATATTGCTCCCTTGAAGAGAACGTTAACTGCTCGTTGGCGTCGTTGATTGTTAACCCCTTGCCTTACGACTTAATTTCGTAGGTGCATTTGTTAGAACTCTTTTATGCACTAGTAAACGAAAATATTTCATGATCTTTCTGTATCTAGATTTAGTATAAACTATACAAATTGCTAACAAGAACAGTAATGTTTCATTTAAACTTAACACAACTCAATGATATTTATGGTTGTTAAACCATATCAGTCAACTGCATTTCTGATTTTACTGCAGAACTGAATTTTACACAAAAAATCTCTGTTCCGCGTGAAAAATTATTTTAACCTATTTAGTTACAATTGCTATAAAAATATATATCGTTCTATTTATATAAGAAATGTTTATATGGTTTTTCCAGTTAATGCAAAAATACCTTTTAAAGTTGGAGGTTTGACGTTTTCTTCATAATTTTACAATCGAATTACAAAAACAGCCAAAGACGTCATCCCATGCAAGAATTTCTTCATAACGCTGTATTGCTAATTTTTAATCATCACTTTAATCATCTTGCGAAAGAAATTTTCTGACGATGCTCTGCTCCGTTTTCCATGTATCTTTGTTTTTATTAACATTATGTAATACTTTGCACCATCGCGCGTTGTTTATCTGCGTTCAATATTGTACAGCTTTGTTTCCGTTTTTTTTTCTGTAGATAGATTTGTTTATAAACTGAAACGCGACACCCAGTGCATTGCGCATAATGCGAGCTGCCTCAGATAAAGCTTAAGCCTTGAACAAAAATGAGTCCGCAGTTATCATTCCATTTTTTTTTTCTTCAATATCGTACGTACTGTTGCTTGTTTTCACTTTTATCACCTTTTAATTGTGTGCTTATCATCCGATTAATTGCATCTGTGTCCATGTAACTGTTTGTGCTCTGTTTCGTTGCACCCACGCGAGACTTTAATCAGCCCGGCTATATTTGCCTGTCGGTTGATTTTTCTTGTTAACGAATAACCTTCTCTCGTTCCTTCGATCCAAACGATTCTTCGTGTGTTTGCTCGATTCATCCTTTGCATACCGTATGACCACAGAAATTTTACTATTTAAACGCTAGAACTGTCCGTGGCTAACACTAAACGTGTGCCAGCTCTTTGTAGATATCTATTCCCACCGCAATCAGTACTGACTAGTTACAAAACTAAGGTAAACAAGTTAAGCGATAAATTCATCTTGACTGCTTAACAAAATTTTTAATCAAATTTTAAAAACTGGTCACTCGACGCTTAGCATTAAAGAATTTTTCTAGAAAATATTGTAAGTGCCAAATCTGGAAGACTTAATTGAAAAACTGAAAAGAGACGAATCTACATGTCAATCTCAGATATCGAAGCTCCAAGTCGACATTGCAGCGATATTCAACCGCAAAGGGTTAACCCTACGCAACGAGCCAATTCGACTCATATTCACTTTTATAAACATTATGTGCCACATGCTTGTGTCGATTTTGATCGATGCAGTTACGCAAATATCTATCTCAATTGTCTACTTTTAAACCTTTAATTTCCAAGATCTAAATGAATGAATATCAATTCCTCTAAAAACAATATTGAAATGCGTGTGAGTCGTTTCTCGAGTGCGAAGGGTTAATCTTTTCGAAAAAGATTCGAGGCTGGTGCTGTATGGTAACCGGGTGGCGGTGGTTTCGTCGGCGGCGACGGATAATATTTTTAAAGGAAAAACGATAAAAGAAGTTTCTTCGACCTCGCGGTTTGGCCTCGTTTCGCTGTACCGTTTCTCGGGCCGCATCGTTCGGCCTCGTTCTCTGTATTTTTCTCATTTTCTATTCCAAGAGGAATAAAACTCCGCCAGACGATTTTCCCCCGTGCGCGAGACGCTCGCCGTCACGGTGCTCTTCACACATTCACGTTGGGACATGTTTTTATATGTTTAACACGTTAACACTGGACTCTATCGAGCGTTTAATGCTAAAACTACCGAGCAGTTAAGTTGACTTTTTGGAATTCCTTTATGGAAACTTCTAAAGTGCAGCTATTGAGACTTTAATTGATTTAAAGTTTAATTTGCGTATCGGTGAAGCAATTTCTCGAATAATTTCTTAGAGAGACATCTGTTACCTGTTTAGTCACTGTAAAGAGAAGAAATTATGTCATTTTTACCCGTCTGGTATGTTCAGTGTTAATAGCGTTAATGTGTAATTCTTATGAAAATTGTAAGGATAGATTATTTTCTGTCTCTTCATATTTTCAGTGTGGTATTCAAGTGAAAATATTTTTACAATCATTTAGGATATTTAACACTTTTAACCCTTAACGGTCGACAACTTTCTATTAGCTCTTTGTCGACGAGACTGTCGTAAACTTCTAACATTTCTTTCGGTAAAAAACTAAATTATGCATCGAAGTCTTAAATGCTAAAAGAGAAAAGCCACATGCCAGCATCTCGTTAGTTGAATTATTAAATTATTCGTTCGCAGTTTTTGAAATGAGAAAACTGATGCCCGTTGTTTTTTTTTAGAAATCTGGACTCTACTTTTTGTTGATTTTTTACATATATATTTACTAATATTGGAACTATATTATGCACTTTGTTTAAGTCAAAATGACCCGTTCTGGAATTTTTCTTTTACAATTATTGACAAAGTAACAGTTGCTTCCCTGAGAAGTTCTTGAAGAAATTAATTTAGCAACACGCAAATAATTGATCCAAATTGTATATTTGAAACAAAGTAGTAATAAACGAAATTAACTCATTATTTGAAAGTATTTCAAATGTTGTTGCTCGAGTTTAATTTAAAACATATCCAACAGTTCAGCGATTTCTAACCCTATTATACAAACAAACGATGACTTTCGTTATATTTTTCTTAAAACCGGTATAAAAACCTCCAAGTATCTCGTCTTTGCTTAACTCTTCATGAAGCGAGAACATTTACATATATGCAAATGCGATGTGCGTTCACATCGTAAATGGTAATCGACCATTTATTGTTCTCCGATCCGACAGTTGTCTGTTAGAAGTTTTCCAAACGATTTTCCAAAGTAATTATTTTGTTCCGATAATTTGTCTTCGGGTGTGAAAAATCTGCAGTACTTAATGATAAATAATTATAATTAATGATCCTATGATTACCAGTAGATCACGCACTTTTATCAGAATTAAAATTTGTGAGAACGTTATCTGATGAATAGAATCACGACAAAAAAATAGTTTTTCTTAATAAATGCTATAAGGAGCACTATACTTCGCATGTTTTATTTATTCTTTCGTGTAGCGTGGATTTTATACAATTCCATATTTTCAAATATTCCATAATTGCGTAAAAATTCTCAGTCTAATTGTCAGCTTCCCGCCAGTTTCACGTGTATTCCTGAAACGTTGTTTTCTTTGCAGATTTGCGTGCGCCAGGCGAGATAAGGAAACCGCCAGTTTAAAGAAGATGTTTTTACCAGACACCTTGGAGCACTTTGTAAGTAGTTTGTCGTTGATTTTTTCAACAGGTAGATTACATACAATCGAACTGTGAAAGCGGCGGATCGGTGTCCTTTTTTTTATCTTAAATAAGAACATTCAATTATTATACAATCTCTATGTAACAGACTTTCTCCAAACTTCGGTTTTTATCGCAAAATAAGGTACAAGACTTGTGTTTTTGTTTTTTTCTACACGCAACACGTAACGTCCTGTAATTTTACATTTATTTATGGGTGAAATATATTCCAGAGTGTTTATCGCTTGCAACAATCGTATTTAACCGACTAAATGTGAAACTGTTATGAACAGCTACACCTTTAGTGTCATGAGCATTGGGTAATAAACCATTTGTTCGAATAAAAAAATTAATGTAACTCAGTTTAAAGTAGCATAAAACATGTTAAATAACATAAATTGTTCGAATTATTATTTTATTGATCTCCAACATATAATTTGGATATTTTCAAAAATATTTTATTAGTCCTCCTCAAAATTCGATTTTCATATACAGTTTTATAATGCGCGTGACTAATTTAGAAAAACTGATTTTTTGAAGTGTACATCATCAACTGGTATACCTCAGCAAATCTGATTTAAAAACGATATTTCACCTTGCAGTTTTAATCATTTTATTCATAAAAACAGCTGAACTTTGGGATATTAGGTATTTCAACGAATTAACTTTTAACGCTTGACAATTTTTTATTAACTGTTTAAAAAAATATTGAGTTATGCTCCAGTCTGAAACGCTAAAAGAGAAAAATCTACATATCAGTCTCTCGTTAGTTGAATAATTAAATTATTTATTCGCAGATTTCAATTCAAAATATGCGACTAAACTAAGAAAATAATTTTCAGTTACAATTTTAACCTCTACTTTCCAAGATCTAATTGGAAATATTGGTATACTAAATATCTATACATCTAAACATTAAATACATTCTAATAAATTACTCCTGTTTCTCCTCTAAAAGAAGCAACTGTAACATTAATCCTGATATGAAGACGAACCTACATAAATGATCCCAACAGTATCCATAATGTGTTTCTCAGACAAATTAACCTTTTAAATTCATTGTAATTAAGATATATCTATTCCATAAATCTTGTATTCATAACTATTCATCCACCTAGTATATTATTATACTACAATAAGTCATTATGTAATAAGTATTATTAACACTAGAACTATCAGACGTATCAGAATGACTCATTCCTGGTTTCTTCTTTTTGTGATTATTGAAAAGATAAAAGGTGCTTGTTCAATGAATTTCCGAAGAAATTGATTTAGCAATATACAAACCGAATTGTAAATCAATTGAAATTGCAATAAATGCATTGTTGGGCTTTCTATAGGAAAATTTCCAAAATCCAATCTGACTTGGTAGTTCTACTGTGAAGTAATAAGTATTGTATCCAAATATCGGTGGTTACTAATGACTCAACTCGTAATGTAACCACATTAAAATTAGCTCAAATATGGAAAAAAGTAAATTATTCTTTCTTTCGTAAATTATCCGTAAATCTAGCGTTAAAAGACGGTTTTTCGCACGATCTGGTAAATACACCGCGATTCCACAAGAAATCGTGCTATTCAGAACCCGAGTCGATTTAGAGATTATATTCGCACGTCGAAGCAAATAATTAGATGACTGGCGATGGAGTAATTAGATACAGAAAGTGCTTTTTCAACAAGACTTCATGTTACTTGATCAAACTATAAATTACGAACATTTTTTCGCCGTCTTGTTGGAGGGAACACACGGTAGCAAGGCTATAGTGCAGCTATATATGATACTTCTTGTCAGCTTGTCTGTGGAGGAACATGTCAGTAGTCACGTATGCGGCGCTCAGCTTAATTTACGGAGCGTAAACATAGGATATACATATGTATGCGTTTCATGATGTTTCCATGTTTCGCGATAAAGGCTGTACATTAATAACAATAATAGTGACGATGGCGCCTTTATTGGGCGTGTTGAGTCTACAACCAGCGTAAAAGGTGGCTGAAAAAGGAGTAGAGTATTTAACGTGAAATAAAAAGTACAGGATCATGTGTAATGTATGAAGTAATTGGAAACGAATGAAAGAAAATATTTATTCATTATTTGAACTGTTATGAAATTCGTCCCGGGATCTTTCCATTAAAATTCGTTCCTGTGTCCGTCTTTTCATATTAATTACGTAATTATAACGATTGTATTTATTCCCGAGTTTTCATTTATGATTATCGAATTAATTGGTTGAACTAAGGTGAAACTTCGTGTAACGCTGCATTTGAATGATACGATCGAAGAATTGCTGCTGTCTCTGTATGGCTCCATTAAAAAATTGCTTAAGAAGATCATACGTGCGTGTGCGCAGCGGTAATGCTCGGGGATGCGAAAACATATCATTACCTTAATATTTCAATTTGCAGAAACATGTAAGGGTAAACAAGGGCAACATTTATAATTGTTTTGCTGCGCTTGCCTCATGCGCTGTGTCGCAAGCTTTACTCATTCGTGACACGCAAACGTATGGATCTTTTTTCTTATTTCTTTTTTCGTACGGAAGGTTTTATATTTTTATTCCCCCGGGACGAAATAAAGTGCATGTTATTTTCTGTTACGTTGAAACGGAATGCTCTTTGTTTTATATTTAAAGCGAATGTAATTTTATAATTGAGATTACAGTTTTTATATTTTGTTCGTTCGCGTGACTCGCGATTTGTATTTTGCACGGAATTCTCGGAGATAAATAGTTAATTAATCTTTTCCTTAATTAACAGTGTTCAGTAGGAAAACAATTTGTTTTTCGTGTTTCTTTAATTGTGTGTAATAAGGTCGGTTAAATATAGTCTATTAACGGCAAGTAGTTGCTTGCTAATAAACTCCGATGAAAAATAAATGGATATTACTGGGAAAAATTCGGATGTTCTTATGTGATATATTTATATAACAAATTAATTTTCTCAATGTTATTTACAATTTCATTACGAATTCTAATTAAAGAGTTTTTAGAACAGTGCATAAAACGTGTTCTGAAAATGTGTGTTTATGCGTCTGCAAAAAATGAAACGACTGTTCGTAATGCGGAGTCTACCGGGTGGCCAGCGAATGAAGCCATTGCTGTGCCAATCGTACCCACCGTTCTCTATAATCGCGTTATGCGAACCAAGCGATGCGATTATAGAGTGGGAATATTGTACTGCGATGGCGGCTCGCCACATGGAATACTACAACAGTTTCCATCGTACGCTGGAATCAAATTTTTATTATAGAATTATAGATAACAGTTCACTGAAAGTTTCTTCTCTCATGCCGGATAATATTTATTTACCAAAGTCTATATCTTCCATTAATTCTCTTGCACTCATTAATTTATCCATAGATTTGCAATATTATTAAAAAAAATAGTAACTTAACCCCTCACAATCTAATTTCCCTGCTACCCACATACTCTCCAGCTCTAATTTTATTTTATTTTATAATATACACTGTATAACATATGTACTTGTACTATTCTCCAAGAAAGTTACGTAAATATCAACTTGATTTTATTATCTATCTTAAATCATACAAAATAATTGCAATAGTTTTATTTATTTCTATTTATGTTTTCAAGTGTAACACTTTTCCGAACAGTTTACAACGTTCTATAACAAATTTGTATTGTCACCTCCGGCACGACACGCGAGTGCAAAGGGTTGACCCTTTGCACTCGGAAGCTTCTCACTAGAAACATTCGACATTTTCCGATGAGACATAGACGACACTATTTGAAACGAACTAATTAGAAAACATACGTAATTTAAGACACAAAGTTATTTCATATAAATATTTCACATATTGATGCATTATACAAAACTTAATATTATATATAACATTTTGTAATTTTGTTATATCAAATCAAATGGTGACTGAGAGTCACCTCTCGAGTGCGAGGGGTTAATATCTTCCTCGTCTCGTCACGTCCGACGAGGTTCCGTCACAATTCGCGCGTCTCCTTGTCAGTGGTTCCGTCCTTTTCTTTTTCCCTTTGTCTTTCCTTCGTTCAGCCTGGTATCAACGGTGTCTGTGCCCGCGCGGCCCTGGGACGCCGGTCACGGAGCAGACGCGATGGAGAAGCAAAGGACGCCAGCCGATATGCATGCGCGCAATGTGCATGTGCACGCGCATGCCTGCGTGCATCCATGCGTGTGTCATGTGGGCTTGTTGTCCGCCGTCGCGTCTCTCGGGGGGCAAAACCCTAGCGACCAGCTGTCTCTGCACTCTAGTTTTATTTTCTCCCCTTCGCCCCGCCGCGGCGTCTCCCTCTTTTCCCCGTTCTCTCGCTCGCTCGCACCCTCCCCTCTATTTCTCTCGTGTATCTCTCTCCTTTCATCCCTCCGTAGCTCTTTATTTTCCTCGCTAGTTTTCATTCTCTTGTTCCCATCCCTTCTATTTCTCCATGTAACCCCGCTCCCCCCTTCATCCCTAATTCTTTTATTTTTCTCGATACTTTTCATTCTGTTTCTTTCCTCCCTTATATTTTCCTGTGTAACCCCCTTTTCATCCGTGCGATTCTTTTATTGTTCTCGCTATTTCTCGTTCTCTTTCGTTCTTTACGTCTACTTCTTTATCTATTCCCCTTTCCATCCCTGTAATTTTTTTATTCTCGCCTTTTCCCGTTCCGCTTTGCTCTTTAGCTCTATTACCGTATCTAACCCTTTTTTCATCCCTGTGATTCTTTTACTTTCCTCGCTATTTTTTTATTCTCTTTCTCTCCGCACCTCTACCATTGTATCTAACCCTTTTTCATCCCTGTGATCTTTTTATTATTCTCGCTACCTCTCGTTCTTTTTCGCTCTTTACGCCTAGTTCTTTATCCGATTCTTCTTTCAACCGTGTAATTCTTTTATTATTCTTGCTACTTGAGTTTTCCTTTTGCTCTTTATCTGTACTACTCTATCTACCCCCTTTTCATCTCTGTAATTCTTTTATTACTCCCGCTACTACTCGCTCTCGATCTCTC